CTATTGAAGTCATAAACTCAGTTGTTAACATGGCACGGGAGAGAAAATGTAGGATTTTGATTATGGAAGATTTTAATTATAAAGAGATAAATTAGATAAATCTTGACCACACAGTGGTGAGGACTCATTCGGGGCAGAATTCCTAGATTGCGTACAAGGGAATTTCCTACACCAACATGTAATGGAACCAACGAGGGCCAGGGGTGGGGATAAGCCATCACCACTTGATCTAGTATTCACAGATAATGTGTTGGATATTGAAAAAATTGAGTATGAACCACCAATTGGAAAGAGTGACCACTGTGTGTTGTTGATGGAGTATATCACCGAAGATATTCTGCTTGAGAGTAGAGGCACTGAGGACATGAGGAGGAACTATCCGAAAGGAGATTACATCAAAATGAATGAGCTTTTTGCAGTTATTGACTGGAGAACCTTATTTTACAACAAATCTGTACAAGAAATGTATGACATCTTTTGTGAGAAATATGGGAAGATAGTAGATTGCAGCATACCTGTCACCAAAGTAGGTGTAATTCATGCCAGAGATAAATGGTTCGATAATGAGTGTAAAAGAGTTAAGGAGTGGAGAGACAAATGCTGAAAAAGGTATAGGAGGAGAAAAAACATAAATGCCTGGCAAACCTACAAGAGTAAAAAATGACTACCTAAGTAAAAGGAGAGAGGCAGAGAGAGAGACTATGAGAGGGACATCACCAGGAAGGCTAAAGAAAATTCCAAGCTTTTCCACAGCTTTATCAGAGGAAAACTGAAGGTAAAAGAACAGGTTTTAAGGCTAAAGAGAGCAGATGGAATCATCACTGAGACGGATGAAGAGATCTGCAAAGAATTGAACAAGGAGTTTCAGTCAATATTTACAGTAGAAAATAACCCCACCCCCTCAGATTACAGAGATAGAAGCTCAAGGGCCGGTATTAGAGAACATCAACCTTACAGCCACAGAGGTATGCAAAGCACTGATGGATTTCAATGTTCATAAAGCTACAGGTCCTGATGACATATCCCCTCCTGTACTTAAAAAATGCGCAAACTCAATATCAGTGGCACTAAGTATCATATTTAAAAAGTCACTGGAGTCAGGGGAGATTCCAAGATGCTGGAAACAAGCAAATGTGATACCTATCTTCAAAATGGGAAGGAGGGATACGGCTCTGAACTATAGACCAGCTTAACTACTAAGGAAACATATCTCTCTTCACTTGGAATAATTCAACTTTTTGTCAGTGAGGCAACATGGCTTCAGAGAAGGTAGATCAACAGTAACAAACTTATTAGAATTTTATGATGAGGTAAGCCAAATCTTACAGGAAAGAGAGGGCTGGGCAGATTGCATATTCCTCGAAGTCTAGAAAGCGTTTGACACTGTTCCACATGAGAGACTTATTAGCAAGCTGCAAGCAATGGCTAAAATAGGTGGAAATGTTTTGGAATGGATAAAAACTTACTTAGAAGGAAGGGAACAGAGGGTTAGAGTAAGACACTCAGTGTCTGAATGAAGAAGAGTTAGTAGTGGAGTTCCACAGGGTGTAGTTTTAGGGCCACTTTTGTTCCTTGTATATGTAAATCCCCTACCAGAGTCTGTAAATTCATTCATGAATATGTTTTCAGATGATGCAAAGATTGTGAAGAAAGTAAAAAACGAGAACAATGGTAGAGAACTTCAGGAGGATCTAAATATTCTGCATGAGTGGTCAGAAAAGTGGCTAATGAAATTCAATATTTCAAAATGTAAGGTAATGAGAATGGGTACAAGTGCAAGAAGGCCCAAGCTTGACTACTCGGTGGCTGGAGTACAACTTCAAGAGACAGAAAATGAGAGAGATCTAGGAGTAAACATACTGGCAGATTTGTCTCCAAAAATACATATAAATGGCATAGTAAGGGCAGCATATGCATTCTTATCAAATGTAAGGGTAGCCTTCAGGCACATGGACAAGGAAATGTTCAGAAATAGTTATGTAAGCTATGTGAGGCCAAAACTCGAATATGCAGCCCCCTTTTGGAATCCACACTTGAAAAAGCACATAGCTAAGCTTGAAAAAGTTCAAAGACATGCCACAAAACTGGTGCCAGAAATACGCAATCTCAGTTATGATGAGAGGCTGAGGGAATTAGACTTACCATCACTCGAAGCTAGAAGATTGAGGGGGGATATGGTGACAGTCTTTAAATTCCTTCATGGTTATGATAGAGTGGATTTGGATCGATATTTTGATATGGCTGGCTCTAGAACTAGAGGTCATAGTTTGGAGCATCGTAAGAAATCTTCTTTGCAGGATGTAAAGAAATACTTTTTCAGTGTAAGATTAGTTGATAATTGGAATTCGCTAAGCGAGGAGGTAGTTAATGATATCTCAATCCATAGTTTTAAGGACAGGTATGATAAGTATCACTAAGTATAAAATGGAAGCGATCAGGAGACGGGAAGATACGAGCTTTGGGCTATTTCCCGCAAACACAATTAGGTAAGTACACACACACACGCACAAAGATATATATATATATATATATATATATATATATATATATATATATATATATATATATATATATATATATATATATATATATATAAATGGTTGTAGCATGTCACGCAATGCAGGACAGTCGAGGCAGTAGTGTTGTAAGAACACAAAATATACATTACACGAAGACTGTTGGAAGAAAATAAAACAATATTGCATAGAGTAAAGCATCTACGGTGCCTACAAAATCTGGAAGCTCTATATATAAACAAATTAGCTCCTTCCATGCCTTCCAGGAATGTGCAGACGGCAAGCTCTATAACTCTGCATTCTCTGAAGGTAAGAGACGGTGAGCATAAGCAGTGATGCTTGAAGTCTATGTAGATGAGCCCTGAAGAATTCGCGGTAATGCTAATGGATAGTTCTGGTAAATATAAGACCCATATAATTGCAGAACACAAAACCTCTATTACACGAAGAATGTTGGAAGAAAATAAAAAAAATATTGCATAGAGAAAAGCATCTACGGCGCCTACAAAATCTGGAAGCTCTATATATATATAAACAAATTAGCTTCTTCCATGAACGTGCAGGCACCAGACTCTATAACACTCCCTACACTGAAGGTAAGAGATGGTGGGCAGAAGCAGCGATACTTGAAGTCTGCAAATAAGAGCTCTGAAGACTTCGCAGTAGTGCTAATGGATAGTTTTGGTGAATATAAGACAAAGGTGGATATTAAAAAAATCATCTATAAACTCTATCCACTACAATAAAATCAATCATCTGATAATGTATAAAGTTATACGAAACGTCATGACTCCAAAATTCCCCGACTTAGTAAGGCAGCTCAGTAAGATGAGAAGAAGCTAGTAAGAAGCATAGAAAAATTAAATAAGAATATAGCAAATGCAAATATAACGGTCAAATTTAACAACATATCTTTGAGAAAAAAAATATACTGCCAAAGTATACTAATATATATATATATATATATATATATATATATATATATATATATATATATATATATATATATATATATATATATATATATATATATATATATATATATATATATATATATATATATAATTCCACATACATTGGTAACAGGTTGGTATAGCTGTGGTCTAATAACTTGCAACGCTACTGCCTCGACTGTCCTGCACTGAGAGAAATGCTACAGAGTTGAAAACCTCTTACAGTAATATGCTTACAAATTTTCATACAAGACCATCTAGATTTGATTCTAACCACTGTTTGATGGATGTTAGTTTTTAATAATTCTCCTTCCCGAAGTGGCCTGAGTGTACATATAACAATACCAATGTACCATTTTATTTAGTTCTACATCAAGGAAACTTAGTTTCATATCAGTATTAATTATATATATATATATATATATATATATATATATATATATATATATATATATATATATATATATATATATATATATATATATATATATATATATATATATATATATATATTATATAAAATTACACTTGTTCGACGAGGAGTGGGTACTATCCAAGTTCGGAGTTGTGGGTCCTCAGCTTTCCATGGTTCATTCTCAATTACCACATTTTCTTCCTTCTTTTTCTGGACAAGGGAGTGCTCACTTGCACTAGAATAAAATCTGATTAAATGAACTATCTAGGAGAGTGGTGATTCCCCTTTCAAATTTTCCTCCTACGAAGAGTCAGGGTATTCTAGGGAGTTTTGTAGGAAAATTTCAACCAGAAACTTGTAAACTTTGACACGGTCACTTCCTACAATTATTTTTGCTTTTATTATTAATCAAATAATTGTACATGGGGACATGTGCACGAAAGCAATTCCAGTTATATGCAATTATTAACTTTACAATCTACATTTGGCCTGTATAAATAACATTTTTGAAAAAATATCAGTTCATTTTTACATAATCATAGCAAATAATTATTAATAAAAGTAGAATAACAATTGATTGATGACAAAAGAGCACTCTGCGAGTCACAGAATATGACAATTTTTCCTAGCACTCAGGACATGTTCATGTCAGAAGGGCACTTTGCGATTTACAGAATATGACAGCATTTTTCATAGCACTGAGGAAATGCTCACATCACTCCCTAGGTTAGCTTCCATGTAATAACTGTTTTGTATTAGCCCTTGCTACCGAAAAGGCACAGGCATGAGAGTCTTTTACCTACACAACATTATACTCTTGTCTCCCTTATTCAACATTCTCAGCTATGTGTAGAGTTTTATATGTGGTATTCATTTCAGCAAAAAGTTATGGGTCCTTTCCACTTATATATAGGCATACATACATACATACATACATACATACATACAGACAGACAGACAGACAGACAGACAGACAGACAGACTATATATATATATATATATATATATATATATATATATATATATATATATATATATATATATATATATATATATATATATATATATATATAATCAAATAAGCACATTACCATATGCAAAAACATGAATAATTTTTACCCCTACTGGGACTTGAACCTAGGACATATAAGTACTATGCCAATGCGCTACCAACTACACCACAGAAGGTCTAAGAGGGAAACAGACCTTACAGCTTTTATCTGCTATACTAGGAATGAATGCATTCTATCTGATTTAATCCAACTCCCAATCTCATTCGGGACCAACAATACTCAAATAAGCACATTACCATATGTGAAACCATGATTAATTTCTACCCGAACCGGGACTTGATCCTAGGACATATAATTACTATGCCAAGGTGCTACCAACTACACCCCAGAAGATCTAAAAGGGAAATAGACCTTACTGTTTTTATCTGCTATACTAGGAATGAATGCATTCTATCTGAATGCCACTCTGTTCATATTACAGTCTCCCCCAACCTCACTCGCAGCTTCGTTTTCGCATTAATTCAACTCCCAATCTAATTCGGGACCAACAATAATCAAAGACGCACATTACCATATGTGAAAATATGAATAAATTTTTACCCTGCTTTGGCATAGTAATTATATGTCCTAGGCTCAAGTCCCGGTCGGGGATTCTGTAATATGAATAGAGTGGCATTCAGATAGAATGCGTTCATTCCTAGTATAGCAGATAAAACCAGTAAAGTCTGTTTCCTTTTTAGACCTTCTGTGGTGTAGTTGGTAGCACCTTGGCATAGTAATTAGATGTCCTAGGTTCACGTCCCAGTCGGGGTAAAAATTATTCATGTTTTTACATATGCTAATGCGCTTATTTAATTATTGTTGGTCCCGAATGAGATTGGGAGTAGAGACAGAAAACCTAGTTTGCAAAACCTGAGGGATGTTGATAGAAGGGACATCATTGTTATTAGGTGACAGCACTGAATTAAGAGGTGGAGATGTTTCTATTAGTAATTTCAACCTAGAATTATCCCTTATAAGTAGGACAATGTCTGATTCTAGCAATCCCACCTTGCGTTGTAAGGCTTTCACCTCTTCAGCATCTGCTTCCAAAATTCTCAACTTATCTGCAAGACTTTCTGTCATTTGATGTAGTTCTGCGAGGTCAAGCTATATATCAAACTCTACGGATTTTACAACTGAAGTTTGAGATTGAAATAGTTTGTCAAGTTCTCCATTTGATGAGGTGTTCAGGACACTTGAGCTAAAAGCGATCATATTTGAAATTATTCATTTTTTTACTTGCTTTTTAATGATGCGCTTACCACTGTGTTGTGGAAAGAGTTCCACAACCTTTGAAAGTAATAGTTGACTTCTTTTGTACAGAGTGTCTTTTCTGATTTTTTAAAATTTCCTTTTGATGTCATAACGTGAATATTCGAAAATTGTATCCAGAGATGAAGTAAACACTTCAGGTAAGACATCGGTATCTACACTCCAAAGGTCACAAAGGTTAACTTTTTTCAATGAGGACATTCTGGTGTGAATGGGAGGGGAACTGCAGTATGAGGGGAAAGGCAGGTTCACCCAAGAAATATCCTTTATAGGTCTGTCGCGAGAGGATGTGGCTGAAATCGGAAACACTGGGAGAGACGCTCTAAACGGTTTCTGAGATGTTATAAGATTACAATTAATTTTCTTTGTATCTCTTTAAACACCAAAGTTGTAATAATCACTCTGACTTAAATTTGAAGGTTTATATTTGAGAATGCTTTCGTCAATTTTCTAGCTGTGAAATTAAACTGTCACTTGATAAACGAAATATTATTGAGAGCTCAATGCGTACACGTCCTCCCAATTTGGGCATCGTAAAAGTGTAACTTTAAGGACAAGGCAGAAATAAGTGAATAATGCACAATAGGAAAAGGAAAGGCTGAAAGAATAGTCGGAGCATTGAGGCCCTAGAGATATAGCAGGATTAGGCCCTGAGATGGCGATAGATCCGCTTTTTGAAGGAAGATAGGTTGTAAAAATTAAGGAAGACAGAAGGAGGAAGAGAGTTCCAGAGTCTGGAAGTGGATGAGAAATTGCAGTCGCTGCACTGACCAATCCACGAGCTAAAAATCTCCATACAGCATCTTTAAAACAAGGCCGCTTGTCGAGTGTTACGTCGCCTCGGCACTGCAAATCAACAACTCATCAAAGCAGTGATGGAAGTAGCAGGGAGAGAAAAGATAAAGGGATGATACCTTAAGGCGAAGAGATAAAGAAACAATACTGGAAATAAGAGAAGGGTCATTGATGACTTTGATAGCTTTAGATTTAACCCTATCAAGGAGATAATTATATGAAGAAGCACCCCAGATTTGTGAGTAGCATTCTAAGGTTATTATTATTATTATTATTATCATTATTACTATTATTATTATTATTATTATTATTATTATTAGTATTATTATTATTATTATTATTATTATTATTATTATTATTATTATTATTATTATTATTATTATTATTATTATTATTATTATTATTATTATTATTATTATTATTATTATTATTATTACTATTATTAATATTATTATTATTAATAATAATAAAAATAATAATAATGATCATTATTATTATTATTATTATTATTATTATTATTATTAAATATATATATATATATATATATATATATATATATATATATATATATATATATATATATATATATATAGGGGGCAAGCCAGCCTCAACTTGGTGCCGGTCCCAAGCCCGGGTAAATGGGGAGGGTTGGTGGCAGGAAGGGCATCCGGCCATAAAAACTTTGCCAAAACCAAAATATGGCCAATACAGATAACGAGAATAGACACCATGCTAGGGTGTTCCCCGAAGGCAGCGCATTGGGGCTTCGCCTGACCCCTCCGGAAAGACAGTAAAGGCTACCCAATCATGGGCGGGCTGGGTTAAAGAGGCAAGCTAGAGGGAGAGTGTCAGATGAGGTGTTGCGGGTGGGAACTCTTAATGTGGGGATGATGACTGGGAAGGGGCGAGAATTGGTGGACCTGATGGAGAAGAGGAGACCTGGAGTGCTGTGTGTGCAGGAGAACAGGTGGAAAGGAAATAAGGCGAGGGAACTGGGTGAGGGTTGCAAATTGTTCTATAGTGGAGCAAATGAGGAAGGAAGGAATGGTGTAGGAATAATACTATCCAAAGACCTGAAGGAAAGCTTACTTGGTGTGATTAGAAAGAGTGACAGAATTATGAGTTTAAAGCTGGGACTGGGAGAAACAGTAGTCAATGTGGCATGTGCCTATGCCCCACAAACTGGTTGTACAGCAGAGGAGAAGGATGTATCTTGGGAGGAGATGGACCAGGAGCTTAGAACAATTCCTATAAGGGAAAGGGTAATTTTGGGAGGAGATCTAAATGGCCACTTGGGAATTGGGACGGCTGGGATAGGTAGGGTTCATGGGGGCCGGGGGGTGGGTGAGAGAAATGAGGGGGGAGAGAGCAAGATTGATTTTGCAATGGCATTTGATCTGGCATTGGTCAACACATTCTTTGAGAAAAAGGACAACAGATTGATTACATACAGTTGTGGTGGGAGGGAGAGCCAGATAGATTTATTATTGTGTAGGAGAGATCATCTGAAGGAGATAAGCAACTGTAAAGTAATAAATGGGGAGAGTGTAGCAGTGTAACATAGGATAGTAGTAACTGATTGCAGGATCAGGAAATGTAGGAAAAGAAAGAAGCTGAGGATGGACCCAAAGATAAAGTGTGGAGATTGAAAGATGCGGAGCTGAGAGCTATGTTTAGGGCAGAGTGTTGGAAGCGATAAGGTTTCATGAGGATGTACAAGAATGGTGGACAGAGAATAGTATGGTTATTTTGAGGGTTGGTGAGGAGGTACTTGGAAAGTCATCAGGAAGGAAACCCCTAAATGATAAAGTCATAGTAGTGGAATGAGGAAGTGCAAGAATGGGTGAAGACCAAGAAAGAAGCTAAGAAAAAGGCAGAATTATCAGGCCTGGAGCAGGATAAAGAAGAGTACAAGTAGGCAAAGAAGGAGGCAAGGAGAGCAGTAGCAAAAGCATAGGCAGAGACATTGAATGAAGTCTATGAAGAGCTGGAAACACAAGAAGGAGAGAAGAAAATATTGTGAATTGCCAAGGTCCAAGATGCTGCATCCAAGGACTTGACCCAACTAGGACAAATAAAGGATAACCATGGAGTAGTTCTAGCAGAAGAGGATGAAATAAAAAAACAGATGGGAACTTATTTTGAAGGCTTACTAAATGAAGAGAACCCAAGAGCAGTATTTGAAGATGGACTTCCAAAAGAAGCAGTTACAACATCAGTGACTAGAAGAGAGGTAGAGTGGGCAATAAGGAAAATGAAAAATGGAAAGGCAGCAGTACCTGATAAGATGCCAGTGGAGGTATGGAAGAGTCTTGGAGAGGAAGGCATAGATATCTTGTGGGACTTAATGCAAAAGATCTTTAGTCAGGAAAAGATGCCAGAGGAGTGGAGAGGAAGCCTAATCATCCCAATCTATAGAGGGAAGGGAGACATTCAGGAGTGTGGAAACTATAGAGGTATAAAGTTGTTAAGTAACACTATGAAGATATGGGAGAAGATCATAGAGAGGAGACTCAGAGAGGAAACGACAGTTGGGGATGAAAAGTTTAGCTTCATGCCTGAAAGAGGGACAGTGGATGCCATATTTGCCTTGAGACAAATGATGGAAAAGCATCAGGAGAAACAGAAAGGACTGCATATGGTCTTTATTGACCTGGAAAAGGCATATGATCGAGTACCACGTCAAGAGGTGTGGAGGTGTATTAGAGAAAAGGGAGTCCCCGAGAAATATGTAAGAATCATCCAAGATATGTATGAGAGGGCAGAGGCAAATGTTAAAGAGCAGTGTGGGCTTGACGAAAAGTCTCTCAGTAAATGTTGGTCTGCATCAAGGGTCTGCTTTGAGTCCTTATCTATTTGATCTGGTCTTGGATAAAGTAACCCAGGGTGTTAGAGATCAGTCACCATGGTGTATGCTCTTTGCAGATGACACTGTACTGTGTAGCAACAGACGAGAGGTAGTGGAGGAGAAGCTTGAGGAGTGGAGAAGAGTGATGGAGGATAGAGGACTGAAAATCAGCAGGAAGAAGACAAAGTACTTGAGGTTGAGAGATGATGAGGATGGGGA